CATGGCATACTATGACTTTTTTCAACATGCTATACTATGACTTTTTTCGACATGCTATACTATGACTTTTTTCGACATGCTATACTATGACTTTTTTCGTCATACTATACTATGACTTTTTCCAACATGGCATACTATGACTTTTTTCAACATGCTATACTATGACTTTTTTCGTCATGCTATACTATGACTTTTTCCAACATGGCATACTATGACTTTTTTCAGCATGCTATACTATGACTTTTTCCAACATGGCATACTATGATTTTTTTCAACATGCTATACTATGACTTTTTTCGTCATGCTATACTATGACTTTTTTCAACATGCTATACTATGACTTTTTCCGACATGGCATACTATGACTTTTTTCGACATGCTATACTATGACTTTTTCCAACATGGCATACTATGACTTTTTTCGTCATGCTATACTATCACTTTTTCGACATGGTATACTATGACTTTTTTCGACATGCGATACTATGACTTTTTTCGACATGCGATACTATGACCCTGTTGACAGTTTTTTCGTCATGCTATACTATGACCATTTTGACAGTTTTTTCGCCATGCTATACTATGACTATTTTGGACATGCTATACTATGATTTTTTTCAACATGGTATACTATGACTTTTTTCGACATGCTATACTATGACTTTTTTCGACATGCGATACTTTGACCATTTTGACAGTTTTTTCGTCATGCTATACTGTGACTTTTTTCGACATGCTGTACTATGACTTTTTTCGACATGCTGTACTATGACTTTTTTCGACATGCTGTACTATGACTTTTTTCGACATGCTATACTATGACTTTTTTCGACATGCCATACTATGACTTTTTTCGACATGCTATACTATGACTATTTTCAACATGCTATACTATGACTTTTTTCAACATCCTATACTATGACTTTTTTCAACATCCTATACTATGACTTTTTTAACGGTAGTTTTGACATACTATACTGACTTTTTCCGATGTACCATACTATGACTATTTTCAGTTTTTCCAGACACGATATATTATGACTATTTTCGACATACTATACGATGACTTTTTTGACCATGCTATACTATGACTATTTTCGTCATGCTATACTATGACTATTTTAGACATGCTATACCATGACTATTTTGGTCATGTTATACTATGACTATTTTCGTCATGCTATCCTATGACTCTTTTCACCATGCTATACTATGACTTTGTAAACAGTTTTTTCTTTTTCCAACACACTATAGTATGAGCATTTTCGACATTATGTACTATGACTTTTCTGACAGTTTTTTCAACATGTTACGCTATGACTTTTTTCATCATGCTATACTATGACTTTGTAAACAGTTTTTTCTTTTTCCGACATACTATAGTATGAGCATTTTCGACATACTGTCCTATGATTTTTTCCGAAAGCCATAGGACATGGAAAGGGTCTTTAAAAAAGGCATTTAAGGATAATATATCTCTCTTCAGGATTCCTGCAGTATATCCTGTAATCACATAACCAAAAATCTGTCAACAAGTGGTTAATGTGTGGCTTCTGGGGCTTCAGATGCCGTTTGTTTTCTTACAACCAGTAGGACCCTTACATATGTTTTCCACTGCAGAAACTTATGGTAATAACACGTTTCCTCTCTCGCTGATTCTGGCTTTGTTCCCATCTTTTTCCCTGCATCTTTGGGGACAACTTTGTGAAACTAATTTTGGACTGCAGGAGCTAGATATAACGCATTGACAATCAAGTGGAATACGGTGGAAGCACAAGAGGAACTTTGCACCAAAGACTCATACAGTTTTTAAAGTTCAGGTTCTGGGTTTTTGAGTTCCTGCATTAGTGAATTTAAAAGACACAACCTGTCGTCCTACCTCTGCTTGTTCGTTCCCTGTTTGATCTCCATGGAGCTGACAGACAGGCGGTCCAGCGGGGCATTGTTACCGGGGAAACTCCGCTTCCTCTTTGGCTCCATGACATCATTCTCCATCCTCACCAGGTCGTCCAATCGGAGCAGCTTGGCTGTCAGCTCCTCCCCTGCCTTCACCGCTCCAGGGCGAGGCTGAAGATGTGCTGGAGCCCTCAAGGTGCGCCGGTCTACACGCTGGAACACAAGGACGGGATGGGATCAGGATATGAACAAAAATGTCAATTATATATTCTCTTTGGTAATTTAAGTATATTTTCATGCTAATACGTCTGTACTTTTACTCTCAATGCCGGACCTTTTCTTGTACAAGTGTAGTTTTACCTTGTGGTGTTGCTACTTCTTCTTAAGTCAAAGGTCGGAGCACTTCCTCCACCACTGTGTGAAACTATCACGACTGATCCTCCATATTTTATTTTCCATAAGGGAGTCTCCGTATAGAAAATATTGACCTCAGCAGAGGACGGCCACCCTGCTCCGTGTCTCCACCTCGCCTGGTGTTTTCATACGTCAGGACTCCACGTTGCGAATCACCTCTTACATCACAACCCTGACAGCGAGCAGTTTCTGACTTCCTGTCCGCCCACTGCCTCTGATGAGTCACACGATCACATATCATCCAGACTAAACAGAAAACACCTTCAGGCTCGTCTCCCTGCAGCCCGTCAGACGTGTTACATCATCTGATATCGGCACAGGGGCCCGCTGAGGGAGGGGCCGTTTGTTTTGGCCCTTGGGATGATTTGATAGGACACAATCTGATCTGCTGCTGCCACGCCTGAACCAGAATCTGATCCAGGAGCGACTCTGCTGTGTCAGTTCGAGACTACTGCAGACAGCTTGGTCTGATTCTCATGTGGTGGAAGAAGATCTCATAACTTCAGTAAATTGCATCATATTCTATAATTTCATCATGTGCTTATAGCGTGGCTGTCCTGTGAGAACCAAGTAACTCTACAAAGTCAGAAAAGCCGCCTGTTGTCAGCTTTGTGATGACGACTTCTCCACATGATCGAAGAGGGTTTTCAAAGAGTTTATTCAGCTCAGGAGGTGAGAGGATTTTGTCAACACATAAAGGAACATTTCATCCTTCAGTGTATCAGAAACATTCAACATGAAGACATCAGGTTTTCACTGGACAGGAAGTAACTAAAGCTGTGTTCTGTGTGTGTGTTCAGACCTGTTGGACTCTGAAGCCGTCAGTGCTGCAGTGCAACAGCGTGATGAGCAGCAGGCAGGAAAACAGCAAACAGCCACAGAACTGCATCTGTAACAACAGGAATCACATCTCATCCTGTCATCAGTCTCTTCATTCAGAAAACATGCAGACTTTCCCAGCTGCACCTGAATGCAACAGAAGCTTCATTAATAGGAGCGAGGTCAGAGGTCACACCCCAGACTACACACTACCTGTATCCCCCCCCGAGACCCTGCGTCCTCATACGAGGACATCACTTGTTGGGATTGTTGCACGTTATATTTCATTCTGCTGAACTTTGACCTGTCGTCCTCGTCCCTGGACACTTTTTGTGCCATCGAGTGGCAGCAAAAGTACAACACACTGATCCATGTAAAAACAACATGGCGGCCATCTCAGCCGAGTCAGTCTGCAGCCAATCCCGACACAGAAGTGGACAAAACCTGATCAGATGTTATGGTTGAAACTTGATTATTTATGATTAATAAAGTTTGAAATGTGACCAATTTCAGCAACAGTGACCAGCTGACACTGTGAAGGAGGAAGTGCTCGTTTGAGGACACTGGGACTTTATATTTGTTTGTGCAGTTAAAGTTCAAAATTTAAAACCTTTATACCAAATAGTTCAATACATCCTGCTTCATAAAATCCTTTTGGTTAGTTTTTGTTTGTTTGTTTTGTTTTGCAGCTGTGATTTCCTTTGTGCAATGCATTATGGGTACAATGATCCATAAACTGCACACTTCAAAAATCAAAAGACTTTTTTTAGTCTCAATATTTTCAGTTCACTTCAATTAGTCTCATTTCCAGTGTGAACACACAACAGACTGAAAACCTGCACACTGCTGCTGTTAGTGCACACACACACACACACACACACACACACACACACACACACAGAGGAGAACACTTTTAGCTCAGCTGACGGGTGAACCGTATTGTCCAGCAACATCGGCTAATTTTAGCATTTTCCATCCCTGCAAATAAACACTTGTTGTCGACGTCACACACATTCTTGATGATGCACAAACAATTGTGCACGTGTACACAATCAAACACACACACACACGGTGAACCATTCACACCACTGCTGATGCTGACATACTGCAGCTCTCATTCATGCACGTGTGAGGATATAACACACACACACACACTTTGCAAATTCTTCCATTCACAAAAATACCCCATGTTTCCTCGCTGCAGCCCAGCAGCAGCCCCAACACCTTCATGTTCACAGGACAAACCGACGTCAGAATCTGCACCTGAACGCAACATTTTTACTTAAACTGTGTTAAAACCTGCTCATGTGGGGATTTTCAAAACTGTTTTTCTGTGCAAAAATCTTGCTGACATTCAGGGAAATTTAAACTTTGATGCATATTCAAGACTTTAATTTATTACACTTAAAAAAAGCATCATTAACATTAAAACTCTCTGACTCAGATAAGCAGCAACGACTGCACAGACGAAGCTGAAAATATGCCATGAATCAGAATTAAAGAGAAATAAAGTAAAAGATAATTTAACATATAAAAGATTCTACCCTTAAACAACCCAACCTGCACTCAAACAACCAAAGAGCTGTTTGAAACCATGCAGATAATTAATACATAACCTGAAACAACAACTTCAGTTAAAGAAAGTAAACATCAAAGATTCTAATTTAGTGTCGTTAATCATAAAAATCAAGAAGCAGACAGCAGCTTAAAGTGACGCCACAGTCATAAATTATAATTTTAGTACCAGATTCATTAAAGAAAGTTAAAAGAAAAAGAAAATAGCGAACGTCTCAGACACAGAATCTGAAGTTTGAACGGTGAGAGATAAAAAGAATTAAAAATCACCTGCTGAAAAAAAGAGGACATTTTCTTACAGTGTAACACCTGCAGGACTCTGGACCTGTGCACATCTGCATCACACACACACACACACACACACACACACACACACACACACACACTCTGTACCTCGAGTCTCTCTCAGTGTGTCCGTCCCGCTGTGTCGTCTCTTCTCTGTGTTTCTGTGTCTTGTTGTGGCTTCACGTCAGGTTTTATAGCAGCTGCCCGGGAATCTCCTGTCCAATCAGCTGCCTCCGCTCCTGTGACATCACTTCCTGTGCTTCCCTACTTTTTTCCACATGAATGTTTTGTGGCATTTCATCATCAGGACCATTACCTGTTAATGAAACCTCCTGGGAGCAATCACACCTCCTCCTCCTCCTCCTCCTCCTCCTCCTCAACCATTCTGTCCTTCCTTAGCTCCTCTCCCCTCTCAGTCTTTAAAGTTAAAACATTTACACTTTATATCTTCCACACACACTTCAGTCCTGGACGGTCAAACTGTGACGGTTGTGTTATAAATCAGCTGAGGTGCAGCTCATGTCTCAGGTCCTTTAAAATCAGATGCTCGTGGTGTTGAGCTGACTGACTGGATGTTTCCTCAGCTGGAAAAACAACCGAGCCAATCAGAGCTTTGTAGGCGGGGTTAACGACATCATCTTCCTGTGCCAGAGACAGAAAATGTCCCCAAGGCTGTGTTTAAAATCTCATCCTCACATACTACTCAGAATAAGTATAACAGCAGTTGAGTACGTGCTGTGTTCCAGCTGCAGAGTGTGAAGGTTCTGAGTGTGTGAGAAATGTCTTCTGTCATCCTGAGACCCTGCGTCTTCATATGTGGACGATACATTTTGGGTTTACTGCACCTTATACTTTGTTCTGCTGAACTCAGACCTGTTGTCCTCGATCATGGACACTTTTGTGCGAGGTCCAAAACCTGGTCACATGTTATGGTTGAAACTTGTTTATTTATGTTTAATAAAGTTTGTAGTTTGATGTGGCAACAAAATTGACCAATTTTAGCAAAAGGAACAAGATAAGACGCTGTTAATTAGGAAGTACAGATGTTGGGACGTTATTATCGTCTTGTATGAGGTTTGAGAAGTTCATTTTCAGGTCAGTACTTGTATTTCAGGTCTCGACTACAACATGTTCAAAAAACATTTTATTTTCCTAATACAGTCTGTGCTGCAACACCTGTAGTTCCAGTCTGCTCTGATTGCTCAGTGTACCTCGTTGTCTCTGCTACGTCGTTGCAACCGTTTAATGACTATTTCGGAGAATAGCTGCACTCTGTGCCGTGAAAAACCTTCGATAAAAGCTTCTAAACACAACCAGACATCAAGATTACAGGTTTCCCTGACGTTAGCATGGAGCTACATGTAGCAGTGTACTTGCAGCCAGAGAACGACTGTGATGGGAAATACCTGCACTTTCTACTGTAAAAAAAAAAAAAAACTCGACCAGACATGTTCCAGCAGGAATATGATCGGAACGTCAGCAACCAAGATGGCGTTAGCCTGTAGCTACATGTAGCAGTGTACTTGCAGCTGGTGAATGATTGTAACGGAGAATAGCTGTGGAAAATCACTGGTAAAAGCTTCTTAACACAACCAGACATTCTCAAGCAGGAAATGTGATCTGAAACCAACATCAGCAACCAAGATGATGTTTACCTGACATTAGCATGTAGCTACATGTAGCAGTGTACATGCAACCAGGAAATGATTGTAACGAAGAATAGCTGCACTTTGTACTGTGGAAAATCACCAATAAAGGCCTCTAAATACAACCAGATGATGTTCCAGCAGGAAATATGATCCAAAATCAACATCAGCAACCAAGATGACATTTCCCTGATGTTAGCATGTGGCTACATGTAGTGTATGTAATGTAAACACATGTAGTAGCATGCCTGAAGCAGATGAGCATACAAAGAAATCCGTCACCAGCTGATGAGTATTCAGAACGGTCTGAAGCCGGATGGTTTTACTCACAGGGTAGCGTTATAGATATATATGACAGAGCATAAGGAAAAGCATGAAAGGCGCCCTTCACAAACTTTGGTTACGGCTAAACAACCTTCCCAAACTAAAAGCAGTGAACATGAACGATGGACTGAAGAAAGAAGAGAAACGAACATTTAAAAGTTGTGAGGCTGAATTTATTTTCACAGCTGCCGTTCACGTGATGTGTCGAAACAAAAATGGCGTCTGAGCAGAGGGTACAAAATTCAGACGCTAAACCAAAACCAGCAGGTGAGTCTGAAAGTTACTGACATCTGCTGATACACAGACTGAATTAGAGCTACTGACGTACCCGATCGTCTCCACACCAACTCTCCTCACTTTGTACCAAAGACTAAACGTTAGACACAATAAAGCTCGGATGAATTCTGACGTGTGTCTGAGTTGCTGATGGAGCCTCAGTTTGTCTCCCGCATGACTTTTTTTTTTTTTTTCTCTTTGTGTTGCTGTTGCTAAGGGCGACGGGGCCCTCTCCCACATGGTCGGCGTTCCCCTCAGGGGACCAGACGACCTTCAGTTCCATCGCTCCATTCATGCTTCGCTCCATTCATTCAGGACGGAGGATTGGGTCATTGAGAAAACACACCTGGGTTAATAACAGTAATGACACCGTGGCTAACAGGCTAATAATGACGGAAACACCCCCCCCCCCCCCCCCCCCCCCCCCCCCCCCGTCCGCTCACCCTTTAATTAGTGACGACCTTCCCCCCCCCCCCCCCCGCCCCCCCCCCCCCCCCCCCGCCCCCCCCTCCCCCCCCACCCTCACTGTTGCCATATGAGCAGAGAACATGGTTTAAATACTCAATGATAAAGATGGACAGACGGTGTCGTGTCACGTCTCTGAACATGATGCAGTGTGAAACGCTTCGTAAACATAAAACAATCATGTCTTAATACAACGAAAAGCTCTAAAATCTGCTAACGTGGTGAGTGAGGAGCTTTGTCTTGTTTTATCATCGTAAACTGAAATAAAAAAGATGAACTGATGGAATTTTAACAACAAAAGAGTCACAACCAGAGAAATGTATTACAACTTCGGTCAACAAGTAAAAATAAACAGAGAAATAAAAAGTGAATTAATCACTGTTTTAATTGAAGAAATGAAAATAAACTGTGCACAGAATGAAGGCACGGTGGTGCAGTGGATAGCACTGTCGCCTCACAGCAAGAGGGTTCCTGGCTCAAACCCCAGTACTATATAGGG